CCCCCCCCTCCTCCCTTAAATCGATGTAGACTTGAACGCATCACTCTCTACAATATATATATCAGACAAAAATGATCGCTTTTTCCCGCACCACACTTAACAACCCAAATTCAACCGAACTTGCATGATCATTTTCTTATAGATTCTAGCCCTTCTCCCTTAATTTGCTACAAAATGATGCCGATATTCACCGATGAAACATTATTATTATTTCAAATGGCAGGCGTTTTGAATATTTATCATTAGCCATTTAGCTGACTTTGGGCTTCGCAGAGGGAGGAAAATCAAAGTGAGAACAATTCGGGAGGGGGAACAGAAGAGCGATTCACAGATGTAGAGGAGACAGACAGACACAAAGGCAGAGAAAAGGTAAGATGAGTACTGCGGAAGCTGTGTAATATGACATACAGTGGGGTGATGGTAGTTTGAAGTCAGAAGTCAGCTGCCGGTTAATAGACTTTTTTGCCGTATGAGTATACGTTGCCCAGGGTGCACCACGTGGAGGTAAGTCTATCGCACACCCCCCGATGAAACATTAATACCGGTTTACAAATTTACTATATCAACAAATCCTTCTAAAAAATGTACGCATGCCAACACTTCTCCAGCAATTTTTCACGCATAATCAGTAAAACTGCTATGTATTTGAAAATTATGATATATTATAACGATTACCGATTAGAAACCCGGGGAATATATATACTAATATTTCTAATAGAGTAGTCGGTAACAGCAAGAGAGGATGGTAAAGTTAATTTTGCTCTGATGCACCTCTTACTCGTTGAAATTAGAGTTTTCTGGAGGGACATGTGTCTTGAATGCTTTCACACAACGCGACATTGTTTGAGAGGCCCGACTGATAGCATCAGTCATAAAGTATTGATGCAATTCCTTCATAGAAACGGTCAATGGCATCTTTGTGTCAAGATTCTTGGACGCATTTTGGTACTGTGCCTGAAAAGAATAAAAGCAGATTATGATGAAGTATAGTGAAACCACTTAAGTGAAGAAAAACAGTATTGGACCAACTTCAACGTCATTGACAGCAACCTTGAGAGAGGATGAATCAACGGGCTGAACTCTATCCATTTCGAGGAGATTAGGAGCAACTTGGCTAATACGCAAGTGTATACCTTCAAGGTCATCATAGGCTAGGGGGCAACCGGAAACATCGGAGATGGCACGGAGGATGGACCAGTCTTGACGAGCATCGCCAGGAGGAGCAACTGCAGGCTGAGTAAACTGAGCTCGGCCTTCCATGTTGGCGTAAATTCCTTGCTTCTCGGTGTATGCAGCACCTGGCAAGACAATGTTCGACATTTGCGCTCCGTGGTCACCGTTATGACCTTCAAATAATATTAATGGGTTGGTTTAGTCGAGCCAAAGTTAAAATATGCAAACAAACGGTGACGAGTTCTTTTATGAAAATAAGAAGCATGGCATCAAAAAAGGAGTCGACATGAGGCATATAAAGAAGAGGCAAACATGTTATGAATATCAGGAAATAGATAGAAAGGTAACTCCTTAAAAAACCTCAGATAGGAGGTTAAAATGGCGAAACTAAGCTCATTCTTGTACCTAAAAAAAGTGAGGTTACAAGTACTCGCCTTCATTAAGCATTTACAATTGTAAGATTACAGCAAAGTATGACAGAAACTTAAGATTATGCTTATCTTTTTACGTGTATTTTAGATATGTTAAACATAAATAAAAGAAAATAAAATTTGACCACCATTACTTAAAGTTAGACAAAACAACCATAATTGAATTTATAAGACGGTAGAAATACTTAATCGATTTCGAACCAAGAGCAACAAATATTCCATACGCTATAAGCAAATATTTGGAAACGTAAATAAAAACAAGGAGACTTAAAATACTTAATTGTCACAACAGTAGTGACATAAACAATGGTAGATAACATTTTCGATACACTTTGCTTGAAGATAATAAGCGACTTTGTAAACAGCTCCCATAACAAAGCTTACTAATCAGTAAAATTAAGATTAGAAGTGAACCTACCGATATAAATAACCATACAGTCCTCAGGCAGATCAGCACGAGAAAGGCCTCCCTGATCCGCACCCAAGAGGATAGCCACCTTGGGTTTAGAAGTACGAAGCCCTTCCAAGCCAGCTCTATAGCCCAAATCCAATGCGGCAACTTGAGAGGCGTAGCGATGGAGGACATTGAATCGACGTAAACCCTCCTCAGGCGTTGAAGCCGTCTGTAGAGCGAGCTTTTGGGCAGCAGAGTGGAGGGCTGCACCGTCAGGACGTTGGAGGGCCTCAGAACCCACAATAATGAGAGGATTCTTGGCTGCTGCTAACCGCTAAAAGGTAGATTGAATGTAAATTTAAGAGTTTGAAAGTGAAGTCTTCGAAAGTAATACAAAAGAACTATGGCTTAAGGGATGATATTTTAAACCTTGAGAATGTTAATAAGCCAGTGACCTAGCTAGAGCCCTCATATAAGCAAATAAGTTTCAATAGAGCAAATCTTTCTAAGCGGTAAGTAATCATATTGATTCTCACTGAAAAGGTAGCACACTGAATACCCTCAGCCTTACGCTCCATATTTGTAAATTTAGCCATTGAATAGTACAAAAAACAGCTAAAGTGAAATACCTAGAATGCGAAATAATAGTATGAATCGTGAAATTTTACATTTAGATATCCAGTACTCATCTTTCATATGAAGTGTAATTAATTGAGCAGACTCTTGAGCTGAGAACATAGAATTTATTTAACATTGAAGGTTATTGAGATGACCAAATATAACCTTAGCAAGTCGAAAAAGAAAGACGCATGATGAATCTGTACCAATTAAAACAGTTTACAAGGCTATGATAACGTGAAAATTACCCTTCATCTTTGCTCTCACAACCATTACAAAATGAATTGGTATGACAAAACCAACCACTTCTGAGAAAATAACACCTGCCAATAAGTATTGAGCACCAAAGGCAAAAAGCATTTGCTGCAATTCAGTGGATGAATCGTAAAATTCGAATTTTTTGGGAAATGAATTGTCCATTTAGCCCAATATTGACCGATCCAAAACCAAAAAATAAAATGTTGATCTCCATAGCTTTTAAATTCTCTCGATTTATAAGTAATTCAACGTCAATTGCAGTCAAAAAAGAAATTGGGAAACTTTGTATTAATGTGAATAACAGATTAATAACTCAAAATGACATTTATTTATCCACAGATCGAATATGAAGACTGCTCAGATAATAAATTTCACAGCAATTGATCCCATTTTAAAACGTTTGCAACAAATTGCACACCCAACTCAAACACTAAAAAAAACCCGGATTAACCCGATTGAGAAATACGAATACGCCGTCTAAACTCACTTTGCGTTTCAATGAATAAATTGCAACCTTTTTCAACTACTACTTTCAGTAATAAGTACCCCCAAATCCTGTAACAAGAATCTTAATTAAAAACAGCAACTAAACAAAATAAGAAGTAAACTTGCACTTTAATCCTACTGAGCCACATAGAAAAGTGTTTAGTGAGAGCACAGATGATTAACACTAGTACAAAAGCTTACCTTTGCGAATGGATGTTTACCGGCAATTATTTCATTGATAATAGATGTAGAGGCTCCAAGGTGCTGAAAATGTTATAATACTTTCATAGATGCAACAGTGCTTATAAATATGCAAAGAACAGTTACCCAATCAATAGGGCATTCTATAATCACTTAACCCACCTCATAGTCGTAGGTGAGATCAACTTGTTCACCAATCAGAGCAACATCAAGCTCATTGTTGAGCCAATTCTTGCGAACACGAGCATTAATCAGCGGAGCTTCAAATCGAGGATTGGTTCCAATAAAAAGGACCAAATCAGCTTCATCAATTCCAACAATCTTAGAGTTGAAGATGTAGTGTGAGCGTATATCCGTCCTACAATAAGTTTTTGTTAAAATAACCGCGAAACAAATCGAAAATAACAAGCGCTGGTAACATACCTATTTGAAGGAAAGCTTTCTTCAGTAAAAACGAGCTCAGAATTCATCATATTAGCCAAATCCTTTGCGGCCATAAGGGCTTCCGCATCAGCGAAAGGACCAGCAATAACTGCAATTTGATTAGGCTGGCACTTTGCGGGTGAAGTAGAGCCCAGAGATACAAATTTCTCCCCAATTGCAATAAGAGCCTCCTCCCAGGATGACCTTTCATGCAGATCACCATTCTTGCGGCGCATTAGTGGAACAACAAGACGTTGGCGTTTGAGACCGTCGCAAGCGCAGCGCGACTTATCTGCCAACCACTCCTCATTCACATCTTCATTCAAACGGGGTAGAATACGCAGAACTTCGTTAGTTCGCATCGAAATCACAATATTTGACCCAACAGCATCCATAACATCGACGGATTCAATTCGACGAGTTTCCCAAGGTCTAGCAACAAATGAATAGGGTTTTGAGAGCAAGGCGCCCACTGGACACAGATCGGCAACGTTTCCAGAAAGTTCGCTTTCAATCATGCGGTTAACATATGTGCCGATTTGCATGTTGTTACTACGTCCGGTGGTACCAAGATGAGAAACTCCACAAACTTCATTAACATAACGAACACAACGAGTACAGTGAATGCATCGAGTCATACAGGTTTTAATTAGTGGACCCATGTTAAAATCTTCAACAGCCCGTTTGCCCGAAAATGAGTTGTCAGTGAAACGGGATCGATCGGAACCGAAGACCATGGACTGATCCTGAAGGTCACATTCACCGCCCTGATCACAGATTGGACAGTCGAGAGGATGGTTGACCAGTAGAAATTCCATGACACCTTCCCGGGCTTTACGGGTCATTTCTGAGTCCGTTTTGATTTTCATGCCTTTCCAAATAGGCATGGCACAGCTGGCAACAGGTTTTACAGAGTTTTCAACCTCAACCAAGCACATACGGCAACTGCCAGCAATTGAGAGACGCTCATGGTAGCAGAATCTAAGGATGAACCGAAATTTTACACAATAAATAATAACAAGCGTAACTGATTATATGGGGAAGACAGCTACTAACCGAGGGATTTCAACTCCGACCAAACTGCACGCTTGTAAAACCGTCATACCTGGATCGCAAAGCACAGATTTGCCATCGACAAATACTTCAATTCTATTATCCTCGGGTTTAGGGGGAGGGGTCTTAGTTTCGGCTTTGGAGCCAGCGGTAGCAGTGGCCGGAGAACGCAAACTCTGAGTTACATGGAACGACTTCCACCTGGCTACATCTATGATAAAGAAAAATGGCACAAATAAGTGAAAAATCAAAATCCTGGCATGACCAAAAAGTCTTTTATTTGGTAATTAAAATTATCCATAAAGGCCAAATAAAGAAAAAAAGTGCTTCAACCATGTGCAAACTAAATAGTTTCATTCATTAATAATTTGAAATCATGTAGATCAATGGGCTTGTAATGGTTCCGATATTTTATTTTGACCTACTTTTGGTAATATTATTTAGTGATGTCTTCTTAAGTACTGAAAGACCCAACATTTTACGAAATAGGGAGGGATTTGGGTGGAGCGCCAATCAGATATTAACGAAGTAAGCATCTATAATAATTAAACCAAACTGCCGAATCTTTTAAATAAAGCACAACTTTAAATATTTTTAATTCAATCACTTCAGGAAAGTATTTAAATTTTGGTTTTTGGTACTCGATTTCTTCACTTTAAAATATGAAGTGAAAAATAAAATAAAATATAAAATATAGAGAGAATGTTATTTCCCATTTAATTCCATTGGAATCTTCAATTAACTATACCTGGTTTGTTGATTTTGGTAATTTTCGCAGAGTTGCCATTTTTACATGTACTTGTGGTGTAGTATTCTACTTTTAGAAAAAATGTGCCATGTTCTTAGCACTATTAATAGCTAATGTACTTTCGCTGATGTGAATGGTTAGCAGTAAGGGGGAATTTCCGCATGTTAGTATGGTATTCCTTCACAAGGGCAGGTCAAGTTATATGAATTTTGCTAGGCCTCTGTCTACAAATGGTGACGTTTTAGTATCATTTACCGGTTTAACCCCTGGTATATTTTATGATACATATAGTAAAGTTGGTTCATGATGAAATTACACCCCTTCAGAAAATGACTGAATCTTAACAATCTGTGACGGTAATTTAATCGCAATATCCGATTGTCATTTGATTCGACTTGACACTATCAAACTGCATCAATCTACATTTAACAACCACTGAAAGGATATACTAATAGTTGCAGCCACACCCAATCCCAACTCAACCTTCTATTCATTTTATACATGAAGCCGAAGTCAAGATATTTTATCGTAAATTCTACTTTGTTGCAGAACCTTGGTCTGCGATTGTTGATCCTAAATAGAGTTGGAAAAGATCGATTTTTTATTGACCGAGGAGGTCCTCCTCATTAAACAATTACCAGAAAAATAAATACGAATAATCATAAGAAAGGAAGCAAAAAATGTTAATATGCTGAAATTCATCATCCATTTACGTCAAATTATTCATCTAACTCAGGTCCACTTTGGTTATATCTCTGGCTAGTCACCTCCTACTGTGCTAGATTCCCATTCTACTCTTGTCAAACAAGCAGGTCATTTACCTTTATCCTCAAATAACTCTTTTTAACCTATGATGTAGCAGAAACTCTCCCTGTGTATGTTGATAATCAATTTTAGCTTTTCTCTTTCTAAACTAAGGCTAGATTAATCACCATTTGTGTTTCGGGACGTTCCTCCTCTCTCTTCAGAATTCAAATGCCAAGATTTGAGCACAGTTTGCAAAGTGTGTATCCGACGCATTTTGACCCGAAGCACATATATAACGTTTTTAATCAAATATTTTTTTAAATCACTAATGAGTGACTTCACTAATTAACATCAGAATGAGGGGTGTGCGATAGACTTACCTCCACGTGGGGCACCCTGGGCAACGTATACTCATATGGCAAAAAAGTCTATTAACCGGCAGTTGACTTCTGACTTCAAACTACCACGACCCCCCTGGTTGTCATATTCGACCCCTTTCACTATACTCACCTTACCTTTTTCTCTACCTTTGTGTCTGTCTGCCTCTTTTACATCTGTGAATCGCTCTTCTCTTCCCCACCCCTCGACTTTCTGCTACTTTGATGAACCTTCCCTCTGTGAAGCCCGAAGTCAGCTAAATGACTTATGAAATCTATCAAAACGACTGCCATTTGAAATAAATAAATAAATATACATCAGAATGAAGGCGATATCTACGAAGTGGCGATAAAATGCTATCAAGCCCATAGGATTGGGCTTTTCAAAAAGTGAGAGGTATTATTTTTCAAATAGTAGCAATGTATTGATATTTCATCCTTATCTTAACGGCCCAATTTATTGAGATTGTGGTCTCCGGGGTATTGAAAGGTCGAGAAAAATCGATTTAGATAGTACTCTTAGGTATCAGCTGAATTCGATGCTTCCTCTCGTCCCCAGGTCCATCTCGCGACTAAGGTGGACTGGCGTTCAAAAAAACTAAACGTGTAACTTAGGGGAGAATAATATTTTCCACAGAGATACTTTTTACATGTACAATTTTCACCACATTTACCCCCCCC